ATTATGGCTGGTATTGCATGGAAGAGTGAGGAATAACCAGCTTATCATGAAACCATAGGCATCCTTTAGAGACATGGTACCCAGGATGAGAATTAGCGTCCTGCATAACATCCACTAAAATAGCTTTTGTTACCGGGTCAGCAAACACTTCTTCAACCAAATTCTATAGATCTGGACTAGAGACTACAGTTAGCTCCTTACAGTCCATTACTCTTGATAGTGCATCTGCAGCCTTATTTTCCACACCCGGTTTATAGTGAACCTCAAATTCATAACCCAATAATTTTGCTACCCAACGCTGCTGGCCTTCCACAATTAATCGTTGCTCCAATAAATATTTTAAACTTCTTTGGTAAGTTCTGACAATGAAATGGCAGCTCAAAAGATAGTGATGTCATTTTTGAACGGCAAATACGATTGCTTTCAATTCTCTCTCACAAACTGATAAAGACTTAGCAGTATCCAAGAATGCCTGACTCAAAAAAGCTATTGGCCTATTTTTCTGCATAAGAACAACCCCCATTCCTACCCCAAATGCATCTGTCTCCACAATAAATATTTCTGAAAAATCAGGCATTGCCAACTCAAGCAGTCTTAACATTGCCCTCTTTAACTCCTCAAAAGCAGTTTGTGCTTGTTCTCCCCATTTAAAATTATCCTTTAACAGTTGAGAAAGTGGGCGAGCAATACTTCCATAACTCTTCACAAACCATCTGTAATTGCCGGTCAGCCCCAAAAATCCACTAAGCCCCTTCAAATTGGTGGGAATTGGCCATTTTTGGACAGCTTCCACCTTCGTAGGAACTGGTTTCACTCCTGTACTTGAAATAATATGCCCCAGGTACTCCAATTCTGATTTCACAAAGCTGCGTTTTTTTTTATTTGCACAAAATTGATGCTTTTGTAAAACCTCCAGTACTTGCCTCAGATGACTAACATGTGTATTCTCATCTTGACTATAAATCAAGATATCATCAAAAAAGACTAAAACGAACTTTCGAAGGAAAGGGCGGAATACCTCATTCATCAACGACTGAAACGTGGAAGGTACATTTCTCAGCCCAACTGGCATTACTAGGTACTCATAGTGCCCTTCGTGAGTCCTAAAAGCTGTCTTTTCTATATCTTCGAGCTTCATCCTAATTTGATGATAGCCAGATTTTAAATCCAGCTTGGAAAAAAGCCTTGTCCCTTCTAATTCGTCTAGCAGCTCGTCGATCACCGGAAGTGGAAACTTATCAGGTATGGTCACCTTGTTAAGTGCCCTGAAATCAACACAAAACCGCCAGCTCCCATCTTTTTTTTCACTAAGATTAATGGGCTTGAATATGGACTAGTGCTAGGTCTAATCCATCAAAAGGAAAGCATTTCATACACAAATTTCTCTATCTCTTCCTTCTGATAATGGGGATATTAATAAGGTCGAATATTGGGAATAGTTGCTCCTTCTTTCAGTAATATGCGGTGATCACAATAACGCTCTGGAAGCATCCCTGTGGGTAATTTAAATACCTCCTGGATTTCATCTAATACCTTCACTACCACTGTTGGGGGTATAGCTTCAGCCCCCTCTTCTTTTGCTAAGAGATTCAACTCCACATAATAACTTTCAACACCTTTCCTTACTATTTTTCCTAACCCTCTACCAGATACCCATTCCTTGGCCAATAACGAATCCCCCTTCAATTCTACAATTTTTTCTTCCCACTGTACCCGCAACCAAGACTGTCAAAAGTTAGCTTGGATTTCCCCAAGCCCTTCCAACCACAAATACCCCAACATAACATCCACCCCTCTAAGAATGAATAGGAAAAAATCATGTACCACTGGCATACCTGAAAGCATGAGCTTCATCCCCTTGCAAACTCCTGGACTCTGAGCTTTAGACCTGTCTCCCATCTCTACTGAGTATTGGGCGACATTATCAACCTTCAATTTCAACTCCTCTGCCACTTGCCACGCCAAAAAATTATGCGAAGCACCGGTGTCAATCAACACCGTCACACGTCGTCCAAGAATCTCCCCCCAAAGCTTCAACGACTTGCTCGATGTTAGACCTACAAGGCCATGCAGGCTCAATCGCAAACTTACGTCTCTCTTTTGGTTATCTTCCCCACACATGGCTTCCATATCTGTGTTTTTGGGTTCCACCTCACCAACCCCCACAAGCATGACATGTAAACTTGTGTTCTCACACACATGATCAAGAGAGTAGGGTGCGTCACACCTATAACAAAGATTCCTCCTCTGTTTCTCGCTTAACTCTTATGGAGAAAGCTTCTTGTATCTCACACCGCGGCCACCGTTCGTCCGATTAGGGTTTCCCCCTCCACTCCCACTGGTATCACTTGGTCCTCCCCCTTTGTGAGTTGGTTTGTTGCTACTCCCAAATCCAGCACTCATAAGTTGCCCTCCTGATTGGGCTGGGTCATGTGATCCACTACTTGGCCCATTTCGTCCTTCATTGTTCATACTGTTGGGCCTATTGTGTGACAAATTAGAGGCCCTATTGATCAAAGCATCTCGTGACTGCAACCCACCTCCAACCCCAGAGCCACCACCGTTCCCCTTCGTCATCCCACCCAACTTTTCTCTCACTTTCTCCTTCTCTTCAATCCTTTGTGCCAACGTCATCATCCTTCCCAAATCGTTTAAATCATGAAGCCGCAATTCTGCTCTTATTTCTTCCCGTAAACCATTAAGGAAAGCAGCCCTCATCATTTCTTCTTCCACATGTCTCAATGGCGCTGATAACATGTCAAATTGTTCACGGTATTCTACAATGGTTCCTTCTTGGCGGAGGCACATTAATGCCTCGTATGGATTACCCGAAGAAGAAACGTGAAATCGCTCCAACACTGCAATTCTAAAGTCATTCCAGGTGATAGTGGGGTTACAATTTTCCCACCATTGAAACCAGTTGAGTGCCCTCCCTTCCATATAGATAGCAGTTGTTTCCACATGTTCGTCGACCAGAATTCGATTAATTCGGAAGTAACGTTCAACACGATACAACCAAAGTTGTTAAATATATTTTGGTTCAATACTCTATGCGCACGTTCCCACCGTTGAAACAAGTTGTTAGAGAATATAAACCATTAAAAAGACTCTCACCCAACAACTTAAGTTTTTGGGTTGAATTGGTTCTTTATATGGTATCAGAGCCTCGATGTCACGAGTTCGATCCTCACTGCCTCCCACTTTCTCTTATGGAATTTTTTAGTACAGGTAGGCTGGGTCTGATGCATCATCCACCCTTCAAGCCCAATGGACTCTCGTGTGAGGGGGCGTGTTAGAGAATAATATAAACCATTAAAAAAACTCTCACTCAACAGCTTAAGTTTTTTGGTTGAATTTGTTCTTTACACAAGTGAATGGGGAGGAGAAGTACAAAAAGCAATTTGAATTATAAGCAAGCCCCCTTCGGAGTACTGACCCTAAGTGCTCTTGAATGGGCTGAAATAGGAGATTAGGGCAGGGCACTAAACAAGGGAGAGGTGGAATGGACAGCAAGAGAGGAACCCCTTATTGAGGATCTCCATCATCTAAAACAACCATTGAGTTTGGGAAGAAAATGCTCCCACCAGCAAGTTTGCAGGGAGGGCATTCAGTAGTGGATTCTGCAAACGGTAAACCAGTGGGACTTTCAGAAACAAAGGGGGTGATTTTAGGAGGCTTTCTGATGCGAAATGCAAGATAAGATAAAGAAGGGGATAAGATAAAGAAGGGGTTGTGCTTTAGGTGTGATGAGAAGCATAGGCTAAATCATGTTTGTAAGATTAAGTAGTACTAGGTCATGCTGCTAGAGGGAGGAACGGAGTAAAAGGAAGATGAAGGACTATTACAAGATCATGCGGAACTCGAGTACAAGGCTTTACAGCTATCCCTTTATAGTATTAGCAGATTAACTTCCAAGAAATCCCTTAAGATATGGGGAGAGGTGGTTGGTAGGAAGGTGGTAGTTTTGATTGATTTTGGGGCATCCCATAATGTCATATCAGCAGCCCTAGTGAGAGAGTTAGAGCTGACCACCACAACAATTGCAACTTAACATGTTGTGGTGGGATATGGACGCTAGATCCAATGTATGGGATTTGTTCAAAAATGAAGCTGCTATTGCAAGGCTGAAGGGTCGACAAAATTTCTTCATTTTTGAATTAGAAGGTATAGATGTAGTGCTTGGAATGGACTGGTTGGCTAGTTTGGGATAGAAAAGGGCTAACTTCAAGGAGTCAGTTGACCATGGAAATTCCAATGGAAAGAGGACCTTGATATTGAAGGGAGACCCGACTTTACCTAGAGAAGGAGCTTCCCTCAAAGCAATGCTAAAAGCTCTTCGAGATGAAGGACAAGGATTTTGTTTAGAATATAAAGAGTTAGCTGGGGAAGAAGCAGATCCTGGGCCATGGAGGATTTTGAGAATGTTATCAAGAAACCACAAGGTTTTTATCCCCTACCCGCAGTCATGAACATGCCATTGTGCTGAAGGAAAGAGCAGAGATTCCGAATTTGCAACCTTATAGATATCCTCATTATCAAAAAGCTGAAATAGAGAAGTTGGTGGATTATATGCTTGCTGCAGAAAAAATCAAACCTAGTGTGAGTCTGTACTCTAGCCCTATTATTCTAGTGAAGAAGAAAGATGGAATTTGGAAGTTTTGTCTGAATTTTAAAGCTTTAAACAAGACCTCAGTCCCAAGTAAATTTCAAATTCCAATCATTGATGAACTATTGGATGAGCTAAGAGGTGCCACTATTTTTTCTGAGCTGGATTTGAAATCCGAATACCACTGAATCCAGATTAAGGAGGACTGTTAGTGATTTAGCTTGACTTTTAGGAAGAGACAGAATCTGACAGAATAGGTATATTTGTAAAAAAATCTGACAGAATTCATAGTTTAACAGCTAAATATGATCATTCTAAAATAACAAAAGAAAATTTAGTAAGTCATAAATAACATGCTCAAACTCAAGCATATAACAAAAGATATAACTCAAACCTGGTTTTCATCATTTACACCATTTTTCAACCATGATCTACAAAGTCCATACAGAGAAGCATCCTCTGTTACTCTGACCTAAAATTTGAAAAATTACGTGATTACTACAAATATGAAAATAGAAAAAAAATAAAAATAAAGCTAAGATATTAGATCAAGGTAACAATTCAAATTGTCTCAGCTAACAAAAGCAGAAAGATTTTCAACAAAAAAATCTGCTCCATTAGTTATATAAATTATAAAGATTCCTTATACAATAAGCTTAATCTTAAGTTACTCACGAACTATTAAAGTTGGACATATTTGAATACTACATTAGACCTGGCAGTGTGTTGTAACCAGGCACACAAACAGAAAACAGAGGAAAGAAGAATGGACTTGGAATTTAACTTTGTTTGACCCATGGGAGAAACAAAGAAAAAATTCTATATGACCAATGAATATTACAAGTAATAGCCTCGCAATGCTTAAACCCTAATCCCAAGATACATAAATCCTCAATGTCTTTTGAGATTTAGCACCTTCTACAACCTAACTACTGACTTCAATACAAATATATCCATACCACAACAATACTAACTACGATGAAAAATCCTCGTTGGGTTGCATCACAAGCATTTTGAGTTGTCAGGCCAAGCCAAAAATCAAATACAAGCCACTCTGTTATAACACATTGCAATATCAATTTTGCACTCTTACTTCATTCTAGAATTACGCAGCAACTCATTGATATCTTTGGTTTATATGCACTCCACCCCTGCTTCCTTTTCCCTGTCTGTCCCTGTTCTCCTAAATCTCTTCTTTTCTTCACTTCTCTATGTTTGCATATTTTTACATCAATTGAACAAAACTCTTCTATTGAATATTAACTATTCTTATAAAAATACAACAGAAAGAAATGAAAATCCTTAAATAGCTAATTGTTATTAACTTTGATGCCCTATACAAGCAAATAGAAAATCATATTGAATTATATTTACCTATTACAGACAGGAAAAAATTCAGGGGAAAAAGAAGAAATTAATCAAAAGAACAAAGATATATATGTAAAAAATAAAAAAATAAAAGAAGGAAAGAAAGAAAAGGACAGAAGCATGAGTACCAAAATCATGTCGAACATTCTTTGACTATGGCTGGGATCATTTTGGGCACTTACACAAACTTTATTTGTTTCCACTAAGCTCTATTACATGTTTTTACCTTCAAAACATTAGAAAGCTGGTTGTTTAAGTTTTAAGATGGTTCAATCTTATCCATGATTATCATTCTGTTATGCCAAGGCGCATAATACAACTCATACAATTGCCAGGATCTGGCTAGAAGAATATTCAAAGAGCCATTTGTATATACCAAATAAATGTTTTCATGTACTTCTGTATAAAGCCATTTCCACACCAAACTTCTCATAAATATATCATGTCATATGACTTCAATAATTATGTACTGCCACAGCCTATTCATTCCACAGGTTTGAATCTATGCATGATCTAGTATCTTTATATTTTACACCACAAAAAACAAAACCACTCCCTGTTAAACCCGATTGGCGAGTATGGGGTGGAGGAAATCCTTGTACGCAGCCTTACCCTTGCATAATTGCAAAGAGACTGTTTCCTGGATTCAAATCCATGACCTTTCAATCATGAAAGAACATTTTTACCACTGCTTCGGTTCACCTCCTATATTTTACACCACAAAACTAGCTAAAACCACTTCCCCCTTAATTGTTCTTAATTAAGGCAACCTCTAATTGCAAACTAAAATATACTCATCTATCAAGCTAACATGTCCACATAACCTGAAGAACCATGATTGGGGTTCTGTATGAGCATTCGAATTAGAACACATACAAAAGCACAGAAGACTACAATAACATACACTATACTACATGCAACAAATAGTTGGACTATTGAGTATACACACATTTAAAACCACTCCCCATTAAACTCCGACTAGCGAGAGTGAAGTGAGGGCAATTCTTGTATGCAGCCTTACCCTTACACAATTGCAAAGAGGTTGTTTCCCATATTCGAACCTATGACATTTCAGTCACAAAGAAATAGTTTTACCACTGCTTCTGCTCATCTTCTATAATACACACATTTTATTAAAAAAAAGCGAGTATGAAGCACATAATATCAGGGTATGGAATTGAAAATAAGAGAAAGGGAATGAACAAATGGGACCATCAATTTAATGGAATGCCAAAGGTTGGGTCATAACCACTGAAACTGTATGCTCACTTTTCTATCTCTAATGACATCATCTCTGCTTCCTTCCCTAAGAAACACATGACATGAGAGATATATTAATTTATTTGACTCTGGCGGGAAAATGAATGCATGAAACATGATATCATTTAAAAAGTCACCTTGTACTTGTATCTTTACAGCCATTGCTATCAGATCGAGAAGGTGCAACCTAAGACAAAAAATAAAAATAAAAATAAAATAAAATACATCACCAAATGTAAGTTCATATAAATCTACCTTATTTTTTAAAAGATTCAGTTCGAAAATGAACAATGCAACTTTCATCCCTATTTTTTTTTAATAATCCTAGCTAGGTAATGTCAAGAATTTTCACATGATTGAAAAAATGCAAGCTGCAAGAAGAAGTGACATACCTTTGGGTGTGGAAAATTAGGGTACTGCCTCTGCTCAGGGGAATACGCAAGGGAACCTTTGGGGATGAATCCACGGCCAGACAAGGAGACCGGGTATGCAAACGGATCTTGATTTGGCACGTGTGGTGATACGGGTCGTGATGCGGTGCCCGAATTGGGATCCACGCCCGTGTTGGGAAGGTTTGATTTTGATACCATTGCAGCTTAATAAAAACTAGTATTTTGTTGTTTCTTTCTCTTCTCTTCTTCACCTCAATCCCAAACCAAAAGGAAAAAGTGGGAACCAAAAAATAATAATAACACAGAGGACTAAGGAAATACTAGCACTTGAATAATGAATATTGAACTGGACGTGATTATAACAGTTATATCATATGTCAAAATTATTTTTACAGGTGCAGATTATACATATTTTGGTGGTTTAACAAGTGACAAGTAACAACATGTATATCCTTTGAAGGACGATATATTACATACAAATTTTATTAAGATACAGCGGGGGGGGTGGATTTGATGAGGTTAAATGCGATACATATTTATCGAAACTACACTTTTTTTTTTTGGTAAATATCGAAACTACACTTTAACTAAAAACTTTTAAGATTAGAATCTTTAATTTTATGTGGTATGGAATGATGCGTACCAATTTATTCCAAAAAAAATTAGTTTTATTTAAGATTAGAATCTTTAAGATTAGTTTTATTTCAGTTGTAGATTTTGCAATGATAGTGTCATCTTTTTTCGGTCGCTAAATTTGCTATGGAAATTTCCCTTACAAAATTCGTCATAGACTGCAACAAAAAAACACTATAGTCAGGTCTATTGTTCGTGATGAAAATGTAGTTTTTTGCGTGGAATATTTTTCGTAGCAATTTGTAGGGAATTTTTTTCCGACAAATTTCTTCCACAAATATCTTTGCGAGGAAGCTTTTAGCGACTAACCGTGTTCCCCGCAAATTTCGTCACATAATGTTTTTGCGAGAGAATTTTGCTATTTTGTGACAGATTTGTTCTATCGCTGATCGTGCATTTTCTGGTAGTGATATCTATATTTTTAGAAAACGAAAATGGATATTATGCTTATCAATGGCGGACGTAGGTAGCTGCAAGTGTCTGCACTTGCAGACACAAAATTGGGGGAAAAGGAAATTCACATGGAGTGAGTGATTCAAGTCAAGTAAAAAAAGAAAAAAGAAAAAGAAAAAGGAAGATTGAAAGAAAAAAGATAAAGATATGTCCAACTCAACCAACCCTTACAATTAAAAGCTTAAAGCTTAAATCCTAGCCCATTGCTTTGTCTTTTTTTTTTTTTTACATAAACCTTATTACCTCCAAATCTTAATAGATATCAACGATTCCTGAATGGGTGAATATGGAGCTATTTAGTGTTTATCACCATGAATGGGTACTTTTCTCACTTCTCCAGTTTTTCTCTACATTCATCAATTAAATCAACAATCTAAAAATGGGTAAAAAAATATAATCTTTTTGTTCTCATGTCTGGGCAACTTTCCGGATATGCGGTATGAGTCTGTTCCATTCACTTGAAACTCATGTTATAGTCTTGCTATTGTTTGTTGATTTGTTAACTAACTGAATCATTGCTTCCAACTTTGTCAACTGCTCCACTAGTTCCATTGTATTCTATCGAATCTTACCAGGTTAGTGATTTTTCCAATTTATGAATTGTGGTAATTTACTTGGGAAGTGGGAGGTGGGAAGAGGGAATATATAGTTGGTTTTTGCCAAAAATTATCAATCCCTTTGCATTGTGCTCATTGTAATAGAATTGGTAGTAGTACATAATTTTGTGGTTGACATACAAGTCATGGTTGCTTTGTTTGTGTTTATTATGGTTGACATAGACATCATGGTTGTTTTTATTTCATAATATCTACTAATTTGATGGAGTAATTATCAAAACAGGAAAAAAGGAAAAAAAATAAATCTACTGGAATAGAAATAATTATATGATCCAAATTGGGACTCAAGAATCAAAGTGATGAAATCAATAAAAATTAAGGAGAAAATAATTGAGATTTTCTCAGAAAAAACGTATTTTAAAACATTCGGATTAGCTATGTTGTTTTTGCTGGTTTTGTTTGGACAATAAAATTGTCATATTATCCACGAGACATGAACAAAATAGCATCCGTATACATTTCAGTCAGTACCTACTTCTCTTATTAATCTAATGAAGTTGATTTCTAATTTCTAAAAGTTGTACTATAGCATAGCAATACATAAAATATGGTGCAATATTTTTTTGAAAGAAACATGGACCCATTTCATTGTGCATGCAACATTGAAGCGTGGGATTGGCATACAAAATATTCAACATACAAAATAATTTAATGCATATATATAACTTATCACAACATATAAAATTATTCACTAGTGTATATGTGCTTCGAATCTTTTGGCAAAATTAATATGAAGTAAAAAGTTCTATATTTCTATCAACTTCTGTTAATTTGTCATCTTATATGCCCATGTCCCTTGTTTATTGATGTTATCTTTAGTTTCATTCATCTCTGACAAGTTTTGATAGGTCTAAATCCATACAAGTTTTAGCAAATCTACCTCTATCCCCGGTTGTGGTAGTTTTATTAACTTTGATCACTTTACCAAATAGATTACCTATGTGGTTCAGGAAAGGATACTAAAAAAATTCGTAGGTAATACCTGGAAGGAAAATCCAAGCCGCAACTATAATAACCCTAATTTGATAATTTTGAAATTAGAGGATTATTATCAAGATCTTAGGGTCATAAATGGAATGAGAATGAAATTCTAAGAATTTTGATATCCATATTGATAGTATTCTACACAGGTGGATTTTCATCTATTATTTTTTACTGCTGATGCAGTAACAGTTAGTAGAATAGCTCCAATTTAGCAAATTTTAGTTTGAGAGCTAATTTGATGATATGATTATCATAGATGAGGCTATTATATGATTTGATAAAATTTGATACCCATATTGGGGTATTTTGGTAAAGTCACTTCTGCCGGATATTTTGTATTGTTGTAAAAGCAGCCGATAGAATCCCAGAATGAGAAAATGGAATTAAAGACCAATATATGTCTAACAAGTCATAATTAGACCAATAATGTTAAAGTTTAGAAGATTATGAAATTCGGGTACAGTTAAGAACACCGGTAAAGACTATAGTGCAATTAAACAACAGTAAGTGGATCTGTGATCTACTAATCAAATTTTTAAGTTATGAACATGATAATTAAACAAATTTAATATTAATTACTTAAATTTATAGTCTTAGGTGTTTTCAGGTAGAAATTTGATAACAGTTCCGAGAAAAATTACATCGGATGTCACTAAAGGACGAAATGTCACTTAAGTGACTTGGTCAAAACCCTAGAAGACTAGGGCAACCTCCAAGCATCCCCCATTCAGTGCCTCCCTCTCTCTTTCTCTACCCATTTTGAATTTCAAACTTTCTCCTTCTTATCTCTAGATTTTCTCCCTCTAAACTCCATAAAATCACCAAACCTCCTTGACAAAAGTTGTTCATCTCATCATCCTCTCCAAGAATATATCATTTTTGTTGTGGAAAGCCAAAAATTTAGTGGAGATTCCCCCATATACAGCCGCAGTTTTGGGCATTTTCATGCCATTGAGTTGATGTTTTGATTTCTCTTTGAAAAACACTTCTTTGGTGCTTGTTTCATTGAGTTTTAGTGTAAGTTTCTTGAATCTTTTTCTTGAAAAACCCCACCTTTGAGTTGTGTTCTTGAGTTCTAACTTTGAGTCTTTCTTAAAGGTGTGTTCTTTGTGGAAAAGATGCATCTTTGCTTGAGAAAAGTGGAAGCTTGAAGCCTTGGAGCTAACTTGAAGAAGTAAGCATGATTACTTGGAGAAATGTTGACCAAAATGCTTTTCCACCCACCTATATGATTCGGCCTACATGGATTCATTATGGGGTTGATGTTTCTATGTTGTAAAAATGGGTTCTTGAAGTTGAAAAGTGTGGAAAATCATAAGTGGAACCAAGAAAAATGTTAAAAATGTAATCTTTAAGCTTAAGAACACTAATCTTGCTTAAGGATGGATTCTAAACCCTAATAACACCATCAAGTCAAATCTGCCTTAATGGTTATAATTAGGATTTTATGTTTAAAATTTAATGAAATAATGGATTAGTGGACTAATTAAGTGTAGGACTTAATTAATTAAAGAAATTATGAAGTTAACAAGTGAAAAACCCTAGTTTACACTTCTAAACAATTCGGCCAAGTAGGGATAAATTAGGGTTAGTATGTTAAAATTGGTTTCAAGACCTAATTAGAATACTAGTCAACGGTTAAAGTGAGGTGGACCATGCATAATGGATTAATTAACTATAAAACCCTAAAAGTGGACCTAATTAGGGTTTAAAAGCACTAATCATGTAATTACTGAACTTAATGAATTGAGACCTAATGTGACTGTATAGGAATGCATAAGTAACCTAATAATGGAAAAACTCTAAAATTAAAGTAACCTAGGGTTTCTAATAAAATCTAATTAGGGTTTGCTAATTAAACCTAATTATGGAGCTAGTTGACAACCTAGGCTTAAGACTAGTTTATGGACACATTATCATGTAATCTAATGAAAGAAAATCTTAAGGAATAATACCCTATACAATCCGGCCATGTGTGAGATAATTAGGGTTTTAGGTGCAAAAATTGTATTTAAGGATGATTTAGGGTTTAATGTATGCTCAAGGCTTGAATCAACTTACAAATTGAAAATCTAACCTAGGGCTTGCCTTAGAATACATTTTCGACCTTGAGGGAATATTGTGAGTTGGAAGTGTTGAAAATAATCTAAGTACTTTAGTGGCCCTAGAGTGTGGTTCTAAGGTTATGGAAGGTGTTTGAACTATGTGGTTGCTAGTGTAACAAGTTAGCACTTCATAATGCACTGAAATTATGTAATTACGTAATAAATGGTTTAGACTTGAAATGGGAATATTATTGGCATCTAAGTATGAAAAGTGGAATCATTAAATGGTTAAGTCTTGTATATGACTTGATTAATTACTATGTAATTAATGATGTGAATGGTTCTACCCTAGGTGTGCCTAGAGAACCTTGCACTTGAGGATTTATTTGGAGCATACGTGTTATATTGGAGTGTGGGCTTGTGCTAAGCTCCTTGAGGTAAGCTTCTGATTTTAGTTGCTCTTCTCTCTTGTGGCCCCACCATGATGGTGTGCATTAAGGTTGAATTGTATGAAAGTATGAGATATGTTGTATATGT